CCAGAATAGAGTTCAGAAATATTACAAGTTTATTTCATGCTACCTATACACAAGAATTTGAACTACTAGTGGTCAAGCTGAATTAGCACTAGATAAAACTCAACGGACTTCGGTGTGTGTGTGCTGGAGTTAGGTCTCTTACATGGGTGTAGAGATTCGAAACTGATGGGGCATTTGACCCCACCCTCAGGCTCAGCCTGGTCTTCCCACAGGCTTCTTTCCCCAATCTCTCATTAGCCACTTCCATTAGGCATGAAAGCCAGCTGGATGACTTTAGGCTAATCACTCTCTCTCAGCCTACCCAACTTTGCAGGATTGTTGTTGTAAGGAAATTAGGAGGCCAAAGTATTAGATATGTTCATCACCTTGAATTACATATACTGCGGTACCTTGGTACTCAATTGCTTTGAAACTCATCAAATTTGGTACTCAATATATTTTGTACAAACGTTTTGTGCCGGTACTAGTTTGTTTGGTATTCAATGCACAAGCTAAAACTTGTTGATGTCAGCTGCCTTGTGACTCACTACATTATTCCTTATGGGAGAAATGTATTTGGTACTCATCATTTTTGGTATTCATCGTGCCTCCTGGAACCCATTAACGATGAGTACTGAGTACCACTGTATAAAAAAGGCAAGATAAAAATATAACAAGATATTGTCTTCTTCACACACAGAAGCCTTTCCAGAATTGTCTGGACCTGAGATTTCTATAAGACTGAAAGCACTTCAGGAGTAAGCATCAATAAGAGGAAAAAAGTGAGTGGTTGTATTAATACAAAATGACCATTCAAAGAGTACTTTGAGTGGAGACAAAGAGGTTGTGATTGATCTCTCCTGGTATTTAAACAGTACATGTGTTACATTCCTATGACGTATTCTTGACTTACTTTAGCTTCCAGACTTACCACACCTACTAACGTGTTGATTGGAGCCTGGGAGGCTGCCTGCCACTGGAGGTAATTGGTGTGTGATGGTATATTTTCAGAATTGTCCAATTAGGCATAGAAGGGAACATCATTTCACACTTGGCTACGTGTTGATTTAACTGACTGCAACTGAAGTGTCGGAGACAATATGTTCTATCCTCTTTCATAGTCCTTGTTCAAATGTGTGGTGCTCCTTTCAGATGATCAGTGGCCTCTAGACAACTGATAATGACCTTGGCATTCTTGATAATTCCAACATCAGATACTTGGTCATATAGAATTTGCTCCCCAGGTTTATACTGCCTAAATAATGTCGGAAGGGAATTCTTGGGAGAATTGCCTGCCATTGCTAAATACTTGATATTAGATTGTAGTTTGCCCTAAGATGAGTGGTCATTGAATGACTTTGAACTAGTAACTCTTATCTTATCTTACTGCACTGTTTATTAATGTATTGTTTTTAATTGTTTTAACCATTTTATAGTTTTAGCATTGTAAACTGTCCAGAGTCACTGGGCTGAGATGGACAGCCATAGAAAAGAAAGGAAGGAAGGAAGGAAGGAAGGAAGGAAGGAAGGAAGGAAGGAAGGAAGGAAGGAATCATGGGGGAAGTATAGGAGGGAGCACTACTGCACATCCCATCCTGAGCTCCTGAATAAAAAGCAAATAAATAAATAATGTGGAAAACATGGCCTCGATCAAGTTTAGCAACATACCAATGTTGTTCTGAATTGATACAAAGATTCTGAGAAGATGCAAAATAAATCTGGTATCACAGGCAAGTTATAACCTGGACGAGGGGGATGAGTAATCACTTCAAGCATGGATGTACCTGTACTTCTTTTAACCTGAAGCAAACTATGAGTACTATGAGGTACTTCCTGAAGTTTCTGGGGATCCCCACCAATCGAAAAAGGATCTGAAGAAGCAAGCCTGCACTACCATTAAGGCAAAGTATCACATGCATAAGAATGCATAGCATGTTGCAGAATAAGACTTAAAATATTGGTCACATTTTGTCAGAATCCCTTCAATCTGAAGGATACTGAATCCAATGACCAAAGGGAAAATCTGGGGTAACAAGTTACCTAGGTTAGGGAAAGCTATGTGAGTAGTCAGATGTAAATTGGAGTGGGTATTATCATGACTTCAATGCATAACAGGTAATAGTTGGATGATGCAGCAACAGGGTAATGCTCATTGCAGTGGCCCCCTTCAGAACCAGGAAGGGGAGAAGAGAAATGCTGGATCTGTGGATTTAAAGATGGTGGTGGTGGCAGGCATGCTGGTGGAAGCCCCAATGGAGGTGATCTCACCACACAAGTAGTTTATGACAAAGAGGCTGAATTTTTTTTCCACTCAGGTGCTGTCATTTAAGAATCTCTTTGCATGGTTAGTATTTCTGTCTCCAGCAGGAGATTTTGTGGGCAAGCAATTTCCACTTGTCACTGTAGGTGAGATCAGGAGGTGATACTTTATCACTTAGGCTATGATTAGGGCTGATTAAAACCGAATGAGCTCCATGCAGCTGGAATCAAAGATTTTGGTTCTTAATAGAATTCTCTACTAAAGAAGGCCCATGCCTTCCTAAAATTTGTAGCAGTATATATAGGTATTAACAATATGACTCTCTTCCAACTGAAAAAGGTAGAGTGAGCACCTGCAAGCAAGGTGTCATTTATTGCCCAAATTATTGCATTCGTGCTAAAGGACCCTAGAGCAGCGATCCCCAATCTTTCTAGCTTGGTGGCCTGGCCCGATGTGGTGGGGGGTGTGTGAGTGGCAGGCGCATGGGCGCACTCACAACTCAATTAGTGGAAGCAGCGGGCTCACGCACCAACTGCTCCCACAAATGCAGCTTCATGCACGAGAGGAGGATGCTTGCTCTTATGCACAAAGGTCCAAGCGGAGGGTCCTTGTGCTTGTGTGTGAAGCTCTCCTTGTGCAAGCACTCATGTGCAAAGCTCAATGGGTGAATGGAGTTTCACACATGAGCGCAAGGACTCTCCACTTGTGCAAGAGGAGCATTGAGTCCATGCATGCTCGCTCCATCTCTCCTGTGCTCTTGTTTCGAACAGGCCATGCAGCCTGGTAGTTGGGGACCTTAAAATAAATTTTAAAACCCTTAAAATAGCACAAGTTTTTTCAGCAAATAGCACCAAAAAAAACAGCAAAGTTTTCAATGAGGTTACTGTTGTAACACTCAAGCTTAACAGCAATTTAAGCAGGCCTCTTTCCATTATGGCTTTATAAGGTATGCTCTTCAGAGTCAACTGGACCTAGGTAGCTACAATAAATTGAAACAAACACATACACACTTATATGTATTCAATTTACCATAGCTATCCAGCCCCAACTGACGCTGGGGAGCGTACCAATAAAATCCATACGCACAAATAAAACCTAAAACCATACCGATGGCCCAGACAAAAGGATCTCAAAATGACACAAATGGAATGAACAAAAGTAAAATGTGGTACCCCAAAATGCAAGGCTTTAACAATACATTAACCCCAGGCCAGGACCAAGGCCAGTTTTAAGAGCTTGCTTGAACCCTAGAAGAGAGGGCATGGTCCTTGTGTCTGGCGGGCTGGGACAGAGGAAGAGGAGGAGGAGGAGGAGGAGGAGGAGGGTGAGGCTGTGACAGAGAGGGCTTCCTTTCTCAGCCCTGCAAGAAGACAACAATTGAAAGAGGTGACCTGGAATGCACCTAGCCTGCTGGAACACAGTGGGCGTGCACAAAGAACAGAAGGTAAGTGTTCCCTTAGATAGTTAGGCCCTATGTCATATAGGGATTTGTAAGTAGGAACCAGCAGCTTGAACTGTACTCAGAAGCCAACTAGCAACTGATGCAACATAATTTGTTCAAGCTCTTTATTTACAGACATCCTCTAGACAAAATCTTGCCATACTGAACACTCTACTATCTGCATCTACAATATACAGAGCTGTCGCACTGCTCCCCCCTCCCTTTCTGTTGGCAACTCTAAAAGACCGTAGAATTGTTTTATGAGTTGACAGTGTAACTATTTAGAGGGGGCTGTTTTCACCCTCTTTCTCTCGCACATGATATCTAGGCTGAGTTGACTCTTACTTCTCTGGAATGTGCTCCCTCCCTCGTGGGGATCCACCTCCGCCCTAGATTCTATCACACTTACCCTATCAGTAGTGTAAGACTTGAGTAAGGGCACATCTTTAATTTGGAGTGGCAATCAATGGGCCACAACATTTTGAATCAGCAGTAGCTTCCCTCCTATCCTGGTCCATCCTGACCCAAACAGTCTCCAAACAGAATCAGTACATTAATGGCTGTTACTGTGGAATACATATATCTTTAAATACGTTGGTTGTATCTAGCCTTAACCTAGCTTTGTTTAATGAAGTATCTTTAAAATCAGCTGGGACTGAACACTCTCCAGAATCCGTAGCATGCAAGACGTTACAATTTTCAGCAAACGAGTATTCAGAATGTATGTTTACCATATTCCCTTTCATTTAAGCCTTCTATCATACTCATAAGTTTCTACGGGCATCATTTATGCTTTATAAATATTTATTCATATTAGATCTTTTGGTTTTCATTTGGGTATTTCATCACTATTGGTTTTTTAAGAAGACCAGGACACATGAAGGAATCAGACCCGAGTGCATAATGTTCCAAAAGAAAAACTCTTTTTTTTTCTTTTTTGTTTAAATAAATGAATCCATATTCTCTTCTGGGAATACTTCCCAATTCATCACATATACAGCTTCCCTACTTGTCATTTTAAACCCACTAGGAAAAAATACCCATATGTTCTTGATACTCAAGAAGAAAAGTAGACTTCCTGGAACCAATATTGACAACTTAAAGACAAATTTTTCTAGCAAATTTTGGCTTACAACACTGAAGTTAATGTTCCAAATGGGAGGATATTTAAATGTGGTTAACTGACTGAAGAGCCAATATACCCTGGTAAATAAGTACTGCCATAACCAAATATTGATCGATAAATAAAAGGGAAACAAGATTGCACCTTTGCTGTATATTTAAATTACTACAGTCCATTTTGCTTTAGAAAATTCTTACCTTGGTATTGTGACACATTTTGTATTGCAGTTCTGGGTAGTGATTGCTTTTTCAAGCTCATCCAGTTGTCCCGTCTTCTTGAGCTTCTTGACCAAACTTTTCACTGCTTTTTCGCACCACTTTTCTTCCTGCCCATTCTGCTCACCTCCACCAGCACCGCCTGAGCCACCAGCAGATTTCTTCCACCCTAAGAGTCTCTTCACAACCGGTGGGGTGAAGGGCAATATAGAGGACATGGCCCAGGTAGAGTACACCTAACACAATTCAGCTGCCTTTCACGACCTATTGGGGAAAAAAGAAAGCCGTTAGAAGATTTAAATGAAAGAATTCCTTAATTCTTCCATTGTATCCCAACAAAATGGAGACTTCTCCCGCTAATATTGTTATTGGATAGGTGCTTATTTCTAAGTATAAGATCTATTTTGTTTCCATGTAATAAACAGGTCAGACTGAAAGCATCTGGACCAGTCACTCAGTTGGCTTCCAAAGATGAGGGTGCATTAAAACCTAGGATTCTCACTAGACCAGGATTCTGCAAATTTGCTGCCCTGTAGTTGTGCATTTCAACTCTTAGAATCTTCTGGCGTTAGGTATATTGGCTAAAAACATGCAGAGAGCTGGTCTACATCTTTAGGAGTTATCCAGGCTGAGAAGGCCAAGACAAGCTAAAGAGGCGCTAAAATTTAAAACCTAACATAGGAGGCTACTGTTAGGTGTGAGATGCCTCCTTTGCCTGATACCAGAAATCCATCTTTATCAATTAACAGAGAGCAAATCCCATTCCTTTCTAGTACTGATGCTGTGACCTAAGCTGGGTAATAAAACGTCTGCAAGAAAAGAACCAAGCTCAGAGAGCACCAAGGATTGCACAGTCCAATCCTGAGCTACAAATATTCTGTTCTATTTACAGTTATTTTCAGGTGATCAGTGCATTTTCTATCCTAAAATATTGGAATCACATACAATACTAGATGCAATGCATATAATAACAAGAAAATAAATGTATATAATTGTTAAAAGCAAAACATTTTGATATATTGTACATATAACTGTCAATCCTAAAAAATATGAAATCTATACAAAAGGGGAAACAGTGTCATTTTTTATTAATAGAGAAAAAAAAACAATATTTCTTGAACCCCATCTTTAATATTTAGAAACACTGCTTTTTTAATCTTTCAGTATAATTTATTTTGCTATTCTTAACATCCGACAGATCCAAAGTTCCTCAAAACTAGTCAAATTCCACAATGTTGGTTATAATTCAATACAGCTACCGCCTAATTTTAAAATAGAATTCTATTTTATTTTAAATTTCTATTCTATTTTCTATTCCATAAAGTTATATATTCATATGGCTCAGCATCAAAATCCAACCTATAAAGGTTGGTATATTTTAGATTTAAAGTTCTTCTCCTGCAATTCCAGCAGCCAGAACAGCTACTGGATGCCAAATTTCTGCACATGGGCAATAGAGGCACAGAAGCCTCTTCCGACGAAATGAATAGCTAGGAGAGGCTTCCAGGGAACTCTGAAATTTTTACTGCAATGGGGGAAAATGTGTACACATGCACCCCTATATATGCATAAACAAACCGAGTATTTTTAGACTATCTAATTATTATGATCATGTCAAGATGTCTTAGAATTTATATTTAAATCACAGTCAGAAAAAAAATGTTTATATTAAACCATTTGTCCTATCATTGCTATATTCCATCATACATCAAGTAAAATAATCATAACCAGAAGCAATGGCTGGTAATAATTACTGAAAAGGAGGAATGGAGAGAAGGGATAGAAAATGTGTAAACCGACACCCCTGGTTCTTGTTCATTGTATATTCAGAAAAAAAATGCAAACCTCTAAGATTCACAATATTGCACAGAGCAAGCAAGAATCTTTGTGCATAGGATAAGCAAAACTGTATCACTCTTCATGATTGGCACCCAGATTTCATTTAGCAAAGGAATCCTTCTATACTCCAAAGCTCAGTTCAGCCAAAAGATCCTACAATCAGCTGAGGTGACAATGAGTCATGCGCGGTCTCTCAGCCCTAGGAAGAAAGCGGTAGCAAACCATTTTAATGTTGAGGAAACTGCAGGGATTAACTCGGGCATTCGTCAAGACTGACCTGAAGGCCTAGATCCGTGATGGCGAACCTATGGCACGCGTGCCGCAAGTGGCATGCAGAGCCATCTCCGCCGACACACAAGCCGTCGCCCCAGAGCAGGTCCACTGCATAGGTGTGCCCGCCGCCCACCAGCTGATCATTGGGTAGCTGCCGCGCATGTGGTGTGCGTGCAGGGGTCTTCAGTGCATGCGCAGGAAGTGCCTGCGTGCATTGCCTTATGGGTGTTGGCATGCGTGCGTGCCTGTGTGCGCATTTGGCACATGAGGACAGAAAGCCATCACTGGCCTAGATTTTGTTTCAAAAAGCCACATATGTGTATCTGTATGAATTGTTTAGCACAAACGTCTGTGTGTGTTGGGAAGTTATTCATGAGTTCAAATGCCTTTTCAAAGAATGGCAAGGGAAACTGTGGCATTAACAGCTAAAATGATGCCTTGAATTTGTGCATACAGCTTTATTTTAAAACAAAATACTACTTACAATCAAAATATAATTTATGCAGTTCCATGTAATACAAGCATAATTCGGGGGGGGGGGGGAATCTATTCTATGTAACTGTAGATAGGATGTAATCTACCCAATTGATCTAGTATTAATTACCGGAGGGATTTCCTCTCCCTGGTTACATCTACCCATCTCACCTGGTCCAGAAGGAGAGACTCATTATGGATCCTGCCTGTTAAGGAATTCCATCTGATGGGACCCAGAAGGTGAGCCTTCTCTGCTCTGGAACCCATCCTATGGGACATTGTCACCCCCTACTCCAAAGTGAGACTGGCCGAGAGCCTCCCGATTTTCTGGAAACCTCTTAAAATTCGAGTTTTGTCAGCAGGTTTGGGGATCCCATAGAAGTGGGGAACATCAGAGGTGTCAAACTCAAGGCCTGGGGGCCGGATCTGGCCTGCGGGGCCTCCCTGGAAATAGTGAAGGACCGGCCCATGGTGCCTCTACCAGTGAAAACTGAGCTCGCAAGGGCCGCACACAGCCCTCCTGAGCTCCATTTCACTGGAAGAGGGTTGCAGGAGGCTGTCGCAGCCAAAAACGGAGCTCGGGAGCCCATTTTCACTGGCAGAGTGCTTGGGCCACCATAGGTGCCCCCCAACACAAGTGACACCATGCTGGCCACACCCACCCATCCCAGCCCCACGAGGTCAAACACAAACCTGATGCTGCCCTCAATGAAATTGAGCTCGACACCCTTGGGCTACATGGTAGGAATGATCTCGAAGTTGCTCTCCCGGGGTTTTAGTTATATTTATGTTTTAATTTTTTTTTTAAATTGTTCTGTTTTATTACATGCCCTTCCCCCCGCCCCCGAGTCAAATCCATGTGACAGGCAGCCATATAAATGTGATTTTTTTAATAAAAAAACCCTACAATAATACAATACAATCAATGAGCTAGAATGTACTTGTATTCCTTAGGTAAAATCACGCATGGCTCCATTTAGCAACCTCCTTGCTTAGCCACAGGAATTCTGGTCCCAATTGTGGTCATTAAGTTGAGGACTACGTTTAGTCAAATCGATGGGTTTGGCTGACCCCTTCTCATACTGTAAGCATTATGCCACAGTCACAATTATTCTGGTTTTAAATAACTTCCGGGTACCATGAAGAGCTGAAAGCATCGTGGCCTTTTACTCTCTTTTTCACCAGTCCCCGCATATTTTACAAGTTTCCTCTTCAGAAGTCGAAAGTAACTATGTTGGAATGGGCTGGTAATTTCCCACTTCCTTCTATTTCTTAGAATTGCACCATGAGCCTTTTGGCAACAACTTCTCATTGTGCAATGTGCCACCCATTGAAATTCACTGGAGAATAGGATAATAAAGCAAATACTATGGAAATATTTCAGGGATCATGTCAAATCTGAAGCTGACCTAACCGAAGCCATCTTGACAGCTTCAGTGTTGCCACACTGGAGCTGAGGGATAGGGAAGGGAGGAATTGAGGTAGCTGCGATTTTGTAGCCAAAACAAAATAGTTTCTCTTGGGAACCAAGGACATTCCCACACCTGTTCAGAGGAAGGCGGAGTGATATCACCAGGCAACCAGATGGCACCATGATTGGATCATGTGATTGTTTTGAGAAAGTGACAAAACTTTTACTTTTAACTAGGTGAAAAACGCGGGAATCTCCAGTCAGTTTTCACCAGATCTGAACCAATGTGATATATCCAAATAAAGCTACTCTTTGAGGAATCTATCTGCCTCAGAGTTTTGCTTTCTATGGGTCTATTATTTGGAACCCTGACAGCTGACCTTGAAGCATTATTTAGTTCTTCAGATCAAAGGAAGGCCCTTGTCCTCAAGCTAAACAACTAAATATATATAAACATATATGTATGTACAATTTATGTAATTCATCAACTGCTCTAAAACACTTATCTTTAGTAAAATCCTGATATATATTAATAAGAGCATGTGTATACAGACTGTCCTCAACGTACAACTACTCATTTAGTGACTATACAGTTACAACAGCACCGGAAAAAGTAACTTATTACTGGTTTTCATATTTATGACTCCTGCAGCAGTCCCATGGTCACATGATGAAAATTCAGATGCCTGGTGACTCATATTTACGATGGCTGCAGTATCCCGGGGTCATGGGATCACCTTTTGCAACCTTCTGAAAGCAAAGTCAATGGGGAAGCCAGATTCACTTAACAACCTTGTTAGTAACTTAACAACTGCAATGATTCACTTAGCAACTCTAGCAAGATAGGTCATAAAAATGGGGCAAAAGTCATGTAACGAATGTCTCACTTAACAGAAATTTTGGGCTCAATTGTAGTTGTAAGTCAAGAACTACACACACACATACATACATATATATAGATATATATAGAGAGAGTTTAATATGCTTTGTAGCTTTACAAAATAGATAAATCCTATTAAAAGAGCAACATATAACTTTTAGAAAGCAATATTTGTAGCGCACTTAGCAAGTCAAGCTCTTGATGCTTCCAATTAAAAATGTGCATGCATGATCCATTAATACAAAGTAATCTGAAAACTGCATCTGAAAACTTTTAAAACTGTATACACCATTGTCAAAACTACAGGGAACAGGCAACATTTCTTCAACTATAAACCCTGAGTCCATTGCTGCTCTCCAAATCAAGGATCATTTATGAATATGCAAG